TTTTTTTTTTTTTTTTTTTTACGAGTAGTGTGTGTGTGTGTGTTGTGTGTGTGTGTGTATGTATGTATGTTGTGTGTGTGTTGTGTGTGTGTATATGTATGTGTGTGTTGTGTGTGTGTGTGAGTGTGTTGTGTGTGAGTGTGTGTGTTGTGTTGTGTGTGTGTGTGTGTGTGTCTGGTCTGACAGTCTGTGTCGGTGTGTGAATGTGTGTGTGTGTGGGTGAGTGTGTGTGTGTTTGTGTGTGTTTGTGTGTTTGTGTGTGTGTGTGTGTGTGTGTGTGTGTGTGTGTGTGAGTGTGTTGTGTGTGAGTGTGTGTGTTGTGTTGTGTGTGTGTGTGTGTGTGTCTGGTCTGACAGTCTGTGTCGGTGTGTGAATGTGTGTGTGTGTGGGTGAGTGTGTGTGTGTTTGTGTGTGTTTGTGCGTTTGTGTGTGTTGTGTGTGTGTTGTGTGTGTGTGTGTGTGAGTGAGTGTGTGTGTGAGTGTGTGCGCGTGTGCGTGTCTGAGTGTGTGTGTGTGCGTGTGTGTGTGTGTGTGTCTGTGTGTGCGTGTGCGTTTCTGAGTGTGTGTGTGTGTGTGTGTTTGTGTGTCTGTGTGTGAGTTTGTGTGTGTGCTTGTGTGTGTGCTTGTGTGTGTGTGTGTTTGTGTGTGTGCGCGCCTCTTCAGCAGTAAACGCTCCTGTCCTTGGTGCTGAACGCCATCTAGTCATGCATCCTGTCTGTCTTTTCCAAAGTGTCTTTTCCTGGTGAAATTGACTGTTATTACGAACCTACCGCCTATGATACCACCTGCTCTTGTGCGTTAGTAAACGTCCCTGTCCTTGGTGCTGAACGTCATCCAATCATACATATCCTGTCCAGAGTGGCCGCAAGTCCGATGTATTTTTCTGGTACAACTTGATTCTCTACCACCCATGGTATCACTTTAATAGTCTTGTGCGTAAGCGCAGCCATGCAGTCTTTCCTTTCCAGAGTGCCTGGTGTCTTTTTCAGGTGAAATTGAATGTTCTAACTTACCTACTTCTTATGATACCACTTACTGTTGTGCGTTAATGTGTGTTTGTGTGTCTTTCCGTCTTTTTAGCGATAAACGACCCCGTCCTTGGTGCTGAACGCCACACATGCACCATATTCTGATGTATTTTCCTGTTACAATTGGATGCTCTAACGTAACGCCCATGATACCCCTCACTCTTTGCGTTAGATTGATTTTCCCCGCTTCCCACCACTGCACTGGTTCAAACGTGAATCACGTCCGCCGTGCCGCAGAGCATGCCGGTCAGGTCGCTGAGGAGACTATTCCAGGATAGATCAGGTGGGTGCCGCCGAAAAACATATCGATTCGTTCTCCTCTTTTTTTCTATACCTCGTGCAAAATCTAACGTACTTTTCTAGCCACCGAGTGGAGCGTACAGGGACAGACACGAGCGGCCCGACTTTTGGGTCCCTCAATAAATTGAGATTCCATCCTTACTATGTAGCGAGAATTGATACAAAGCAGTCCACCCGGACCTCAGGGAGCGGCTGGCTAAGCTGCAGGGTGACTCACGGCGGGGCTGCATGCGTGATGTCTGAGTGATCACTACCATCCCCCGCCCTCCCCTCATCTCCAATTTACCGCATTGCCAGAGACCGAACTTGGATCTCTCTGGCAGTCCAAACGTTATTTGCGTCGTGTGCAAGCCGGTAAATTGCTTTCTCCAAGCGCGGCTCTATGGATAATTTACCAGCCCGTAGCTGGTAATACATCAGGGGATCCTCCATCCAGCGACTGCAAATATTGCTCCAAAACAGGCCGCTAAACGTAGCCTCCATAGCATGCCAACAACTGGGGGTTTTGGGGTCTTTGGGAGCTTTGGGAGCTTTTATGTGCTATTTTCTGATTGCATATAGATAACATAGCCGGCCTGGTTGAACTACCACCGTTTTTTTTTTTGGAACTGGGCTAATCAGAAAACAGCCGAAGACCACCAAACCCCCCCAGTTCTATAAGCCTGCTACGGAGGCTACGCAAATATTGCGTTTAAGCTGCTAGCTCGAAAACAGGCCCGCCTAGTAAACGCTAGACGGTGCGAAATTCTCAAAAGCAATTCTTCAGCATCGGCATTAGCGATGACACTGATGTGACGTTGTTGCAGCGATAATTAGATTTTTTCGGCAATTTTCTCCACTCACCCTCCCTGAGCTGAATCTTAAGTTCATTAGTCTGTGTGTGTTTGTGTGTGTGCATGCGCTGGCTGTACTAGTAGTGCTGCCGCCTCAGACAAAGAAGCAGAGCGCTGTGTTACACAGCTAGGGTTTTTTTCCTGCCCCGCCAAATGGGACTCCACTGTGGATGTTTCGGTGGAGTAAGTTATGTAAATCCGAGGAGCGGCAGATGAAATTGGTATGTTAGCGTGATGGAGCCGGAATCGGGGTCGATCATTGGTGCTGCTCCTCCTGCTCCGGGGATGACGTCATCTCGCCAGGGTAAGGGGACGGTCCGTTTGATATCCGTGGGTGTGTATGGTGGATCAATGCTGTGCCAGTTCTAGTTCTTTGGCTCTTTACTGCGTTGCCTGTATTTTCTCAACATTATGGAGAGCATACATGTATACTTGTATATGTACTATAATAGCCTACAGTGTTAGTTTTACTGAGTATGCGGATCGTAAAATTCGGCGCAAATTCCGTGTATACTGCAAGGCCGATTTGTCCATTGTTTTTATCAATAAACCATTTACGACATGGTTTTCTTTTGTATAAGTACATGATAAAGTGGCGTATTTCTGCAGGAAAAACAAGTCCAGGTCGTATCCTCCATGACTCAGAGGTGGCTTCTTCCAACGATGCGAACGGTTAAATGCCCATATATGGAAATATCACTCAGTATTTTGCATTTGATAGGAAAAACTGAAAAGCTTATATTATACACAGCTGGTATCTCACTGGGGAAGTGTTCCACTTTCCTATCCCTTATGTGTGCCATTTGGCAACTGATAACGTAATGAATGCATTTGTTGTTGCTATAGATTGAAAGACTGTCTGACTCTGTGCACATTATCGTCGATACTATACTAGGTTTGTCCCTTTATATAGCCTGTGTACGCCCAGTGTTTATATTGTACCATGTGGTAAATGTATGTACGCCCGTGGTAAAGGTCTGGGAATTCTGCTGCTCGTACTGACTCTTGTTCTGGAAATGCTCCAATTTATTCCACGAGACTAGTAGTTTTAATTCATGTACCACTCATGGCCATGCCGTGATGTGGATGATGTGTTGATGTCTGCCAAATGGCAACACCATGGTGCAGTTCGTGCCATTTCCGCAAAGAGCGCTTTTGCTGCATGTTGCTGCAACGTTACGACGCATCATGGATGTCTGGTCAAGGTCTAAAAAAACGTATACATTCAAGATTCATTCGTATCATGTATAGCACAATTCACCGAGGACAAAATCATCCACTGGCTAACCGAGCATGTCCACAGACTCAGCTACAATCGACCAAAGGGATGATCTTCACTGCGCTCCTGGAGTTGGCGCGGGCATAACCTGCACTGCACCAGCGCGCCTGAGCAAATTGCTTCCATCTTGGCTTCCATCATTGAAGTAACGCGCTATCGCCTGCAGTCCCAAGACTGCCCTCAAAAATACAGGATATAGGAAAGGTAGCTGAAGCATTAACGCTTTAGATCACGTCAATGTCTTCAGCGGATATTGCGGATACCGGGTGTTGGATACCGGCGGAAGCTCCAAAAGTTGGCGCGTGTTTCGTGACGGAATGGTTTTTAAAGTTTCAGTTCCGCACGGCGAAGTGCATTTCATCCTCCAATTAAATAAAAATAGACTTTTAGGAGGGCTATTTCTTGTTTTTTCTTCCTGAAACTCTGCATTCACATCTTATACATAAATACCCTTCCGGATGTTGCAAGGTTGGATGTCTATCGTCCAATGTCCATTAACGCAGGTAACATTTTGGGAGGTTCTCGAATCGTTTTTTTTTTTATTCATCAAAACATAAAAGACATATTAAACAAGGACAGTGTAGCGTTGCACTCAAGTTAACAACTTATATTAACAGCGCCACACAACAAAAAAGGTACAATTAACATCAGCTATACAAAGTTGACATATCTGTTCGCCGTAGTCCCACCACCCCAAGACATTAAAATGTTAAATATCTTCTCGAATCGTTTGATAAGTGGACGTGTATCTTGACGGCCGATGCGACTCGGCACATGTAACACCTTATCCCTGTTGCACCGCCCTAGGAAAGTGATTTTCTTTTTAAGAATAAATAAAAAGTCGTTGCTTCGATATGCAAAGTTCAAAGTTTGTAAGTCTGGTGAGAGGTGGCACTGGCAACAGGCTAGATGTCCCTAAACTATCATGACAAGTTCATCTGTGTTGGTAGTCACATGTTTAGAGTTAAAACCTTTGATCCAACACAAAAAAGTTCTAGTCACTCTGGTCTTCCTCACTGCCACGTGACAAGTCTCACTGGGTCAGCTTAAGTGACACTTTCTGGTGACGTCTTTTTACTTGCCATGGATATACTTTTCTTCAGTTCACCTTTGATAACGTTAAATATTGTAATTCATCATATACCAAATACAACATCTGTGAAATGCATTTTTTTTAATTTTTTTATTAAACTAGCCTTTAGTTCCCACGGAAATGTTGGTAACTATTGTTTTCAAATATCAGACATGTACATGTATTAGCCTCTATCAGGCTTAAGAAGCGGCTGGAAAGAGTAATCAAATAATAGACAGATAAGTAGTTGCAAACTGTACTCCTTCAATTCAATATTCAATCCTTTTGCGGACCAACTCCCCTGGCATGTCATCTGTCTATTTGGCCAATTTCTACTCTTTCCAACCGCTTTTGAAGCCTGGTAGAGGCTAAAATGGCCCAAAATGTCTTGTTCTGAAGATGTGTTCCCGTGTTTCCCGCAGCCCCTCCCCGCCCGGAAATGCAATGGTTGGTCCCTAATTTGCATGCAGGAAGTGGCCGCCCCACCATGATGGAGAGCTTCAAGATGGCGGCGCCACTCGCACAGATAGACGACGAGTGGCTCGACTTCACCTCGCCTTCAGACGTCGTCAACTCCAACGACACCACCAATTCGCGCGCAGACGACAACCAGGACGTGGACAATGTGGATAACTGCGGTTTCGGGGTCGTCAGTTTCAAATCCATGGAGGACTTGGTGCACGAATTCGACGAAACGCTGAACATTTGTTTTCGGAACTACAACGCGAAGACGGACTCTATAGCGCCGGTGAAGGTGCTGTCACAAGAAGAAATTATGGAGAACTCCGAGTAAGTATCCTCATTCCTACCTTGTACATGCGTTCCCTGACTTATTTTCGAAGAAATCCTAACGTATGAACCGTGAAAGATGCCAGAATGCGGCGCAGATTCCTTCACTGCAATACTGTCACTGCGATGTTGATCTTTGACCATTTCATCATCGCCATAGAAATAACGGGACACTGATTTTTTTAGCCAGGTACGAATTTCTCCCGAGTGCTTTACAATGACGGCAGACCTTATCACCATTTTAGGTCTTAGTCGGGAAACATAATTTTTTTATAAACCACGGTTTGGACGGGCAATGACGATAAATTTATGTTGACTACACCGGGATGTCCCAGCTTACTGATTTGACTGTGATGTGCTGCATAAGAGCAGTGGTGCAGCATTTAGTCCAACATACTAGTACTCAACATGCAGACACATCTAAAAGAGTAAAAAGAACCAGCATGTCAATTTTTTTCAATGCCAATATATCAAGTGTTGGTTATGATTGTAGACAGCAAAATGCCGTGTTTTTTGTCAGAGGAAAAGAAAGATATAATTTGAGAAAACTTGAAGAAAGAAGCTTGAACCAATTTGACAGGTCAGATTTTGTCTCTTAGTAACAACTCCCTGCCCAAAATATTGCACCACATAATTTTTACTTTCATTGAATTTTATTTCCATTTCTTTAGAGCAAAGTGTTTGACTAGTAACTAGATCTAAGACAGATCAGACCGTTAGCCAAATATCTTACATTTATTAGACAGCAGCGTAGATGATATGACATTATTATGAGTATTATGAAGGTTAGAAATATTTTAAACTCTATGAACTCACTAGAATAAGTGTTAGGAGAAGAGGGGAAAAGACTAACTAGCAGTAGTAGGGTAGTAGATTATCCTCATGCTGATTTTTCTTTAGTTGTTTTGCTCTTGTGAAGTATAAGAGCACTGCACCCACACTGTATGCTCAACCATGGTGGTCAAGTTTCAGCTACAAGTTAGTAAGGTGTTCACTTGGTGACTTGCAAATTATATGAAACTTCTTTTTGAACAGCAACTGATTTAGTGGTTATTACACTGAGTAACTAGAATTAATCTTATGATCTATAACACAGATGACGTACAGGATTAATTAATTTATAACGTGTCAAGTAACATAGACTTGTCCTCTCCATGTAACATTAGCCTAAATAAAATTTGTAAGTCAATAATTAATATACAAACATGGACTTAATTTTAATGGATAGTCAATGCCATTACTCTTCAATGTAGCAAGACTGAAGCAGTCTCCGATAACATACAATATAGATGCTTCAGGAATAACTGTCACTGTCAGAATTTGCGGGTTGGTGTGTCCTGACGTGTAAGGTCTCCCCAGACAAATCTCGGCTTACTTGAGTAAAAAATTATTCTACAAACATCCAACTTAATTTTATTGCATAATCATCATTATTATCATTATTCAATGCAGCAAGAATCAAGCAGTCTCCGATAGTATACATGTAGAATAACTGGCAGAATTTGCGGGTTGGTGTGTCCTGACCCGCCGGTGACGTGTAAGGTCTCCCCGGACGAATCTCGACCTACTTGAGATTCTTCCCACATCGAGTACTCAGGCCCGGGACAGGAGCTTGGCAGAAGGGCCGCGCGAGGAGAGGGAGGGGCAGGTGTGGGGCTCGCAGCGCCGGCAATAAATTTTACAGCGGTTCACGCCGCTGTGGATTTAATATGCAAGGCGCGGGGATAGTCGCACAGGTGCTGCGTGTATGTACGTATGTAGATCAGTACGCAGATGTAACGTTACATGCACCTGGAGCATGGAAATACGAGGAGTGAGATTATGCGCACAACGCGGGGGAATAATCGTGTCACGATCAATTCATCCGTTACCTACGTACACGGATTGTGTGGATAAAAACTAATCTGAATCCTCTCATCTGTGCGAGGCTGTGGCCCCGGGGACCACACAGATATCAGTATTCTGCTCAGGTCGCATTATCACTGAGAACTGGTGGCCAGGCCCAGGCCTAGGAAAAAATATTGCGTTTCCTGTTTCCTGACCGACCCTAGAAAAAACTGCCGACCCTAGCCTTTTTTTGTGTGTGGACTCCTGCAAGGGATATGAATTTTTCGAGCCGATCAACCTTTTCTAGCTCCATGATCTGACACCTGAGTCATGAAATGTTATACAATTGGTTTTCAACACTGACATTGATTATAGAAGTGTCCTCAACTACTCATGCAAGTTTTACTTTGTTAAACTGTATTCTATAAGTTCAATCACTAGAAATTGCCAAAGTCTAGTAAAAAAAACAAAGTAAAAAACAAAACAAATCCCTACATGTCCCTACCGAACCTAATTTTTTCAGGGCTGAAACAAGAAACACAACATTTTTTCCTAGGCCCTGGCCATGCCCATTTCGGCTGTTGGGCATGTATGAGTAACCTGTGTCTTGATTTCCCACATGACACAGTTTGTTCATACATAGTGCTCCCAGGTTATGGGAAGGGATGGTAAGGAGCTAGCCTCCACCAGGCCTTTCCACGGGAATACGGATCAAGGCTGGAAATACTGGGTGCATGTGCACCTTAGTGCAACCAAAATTGGAGCTGTGCACCTATTTTTTGTCTGTCAGTTAGTGCACTGGTGCACGCAAATATTTCTGTAGGTATTTTTGTACATCTCAAATGTATGATAGTATACAGGATATTCTTCTTCTTCTTCTTCTTCTTGTCCGGTTTATCGTCTGTTTTTCCCCGTCTTCCGAGGGTTAGACGTGCTTGCACAATACATCAAGTGTCAGAAAAATATAAAACCCTTGCTGTAGTACGTGTTTAAGTTTTTGAAGCGTAGCTCCCATTTCAGATTGAAGCTCAGAAGAGGAGCTGTAATCAGGTTTTGTTCTATAATGGTGCACCCAAAAAATGTTTGGTGCACCTAATTTTCCAGGTCGGGTGCACCAGTGCACCTATCCCCAAAAATGAATTTCGAGCCCTGCGGATCGTACATGTAGCATTTGGCAAAGAGGAGAGTAAAATTGGCCAGGCGAGTCAGTCCACGAAAGGTTGATTGCACAGCCTGTCAAACCCCTAGGCCGTTGAGGAGGCCAAACTCCCCTGGCGAATATTCCCCTATATACAATTACAATATAGCCAGCGTAGTTAGTCTGGTAGAGACAGAATGGTTGACCACTGTTTGCTTTCATTCCAGTTACACCTCAAGGATTGTGTTACTCACAACACAATTTTGTTGTTTTGTAATCAGATGAAGTGAGAGAAAGATAAACAAACTGAGATTGTAGTGGCTGGGAAGTGCCTGCGCATAGTTGTTTGCAATAGTTCTTTTTATGTACTTCTATACTATATATATATATAGTTTGTCACTTTTGAGAAAGCTTAAGAATAAGCTAGGAAAAATACTGTACATCAGCAATAAATTATAATTATGCATGGAGTAATCTACCATGCAGTCCAGTTGAGGGATAAAGCTATAATAATGACATTGAAACTACCCCAGTAGTCCTACGGTAATATTCTTGCATATATTCTGCAGTCACAGCAGTAACCGCTCCTAATTCCATCCCCATTCAATCTGTTCCTACCTGGAGTGGAGGAAATATTAGTTGATGAAGAATCAGACCCACAAGTCAATATCTGACCTCCATCGGCAGTCAGGACATTATTTTTGTGCGGTGGATCTGCTAACGTACCGCCCGGAGGACCTGCAGTAAAAGCGCAGTTTTTATTGTCATTTGAAGGTTACATTCAGCAGGAGTATTCTCTCCTAAATGTCAAGATTTACATTTGATAGTAGATATGCTTCATTAGGTAGGAGAAACGATCTTAGAATTATAAAATGTATTAACACATGTACGTAGGTCTAGAGTACACTCTAATTACTAAAAACATTTACTGACAAAAAATGAAAGTGGTATATTTTTGGCAAATTTGTAAAGAGCACAGAAAGATATGCATTTTGTACATGTGTAGTCATTGCCAACAAAGACAGTAGACATTCGGGTACACAGACTGCAGTAGGTGATGTGTGATATCAGTGAAAAGCATCCATTTCGTTTTACGTCAGAACTCAGAATCACATGATGCGTAATAAATGTCTCTTTCACGCACGAGAACCAAAAATTACATTACGCAGCAAGGTTTGATTTACTGCATATAGAAGCTGTATATATCATGGCTTGTGTTACTGTTAGCAGTTTTTAGCACCATCCCTGTAAATATTGTTCCCAGGATGTTTTGACAGGAGGAGAGTTTGACTAATGGAAGTGTCTGTCAACAAGTAGGTCAAATGGGAACTGATATTGCAAAAAAAAAAAAATGAATAAAATCTTGTCGGGATAAAATCATTCAGGACAAAATATGAAATGATGGATGAAATTTACTCCTCCCAACCTATGGATTGCTGAATCTTTGATTTTTTGAAATGAGAAGAAGGCCAGCACTACTGGTCACTGATTGTGAAGGTAAATGCATTTTCTATGTCTATGTCTATGTTATACTGAAGTGTAAAACCCTCAGGTAGGGTATTGCATTCATTTATTTATTTATTCAGCTTTACAGAAATTAAAATTCTGAGAGGAGCCGGCAACAGGAACGTAGAGTTCCTCTACTAGGCCGACTCCTCTAGAAACATAGAAACAAAAACAAACAAACAAGCAACAATTTAAAATGATGATAGCAAACCTATAAGCACCTAACAAACAAATGAGTAATTAAATCAAATCGCTAAACAGTTATGGCAACGACAGGTAGTGGTCCAGGTACATAAGTTGTCGGTTGAAAAATTGTTGTTTAACGCGAGATCTGTAGTAAGAATGCAGGATCAGATGCAATGCTAGATTTGGCCTGTGTTGAAGGTGTAGCCTAGCCGGGGTACCATCCTACTTGTATGCCGGGGCTCCCACAGTCGCTTTCCTTAGTGTGGGAGCCCCGGCATACGAGTAGGATCATGGATGGTACCCAGGCTAGGTGTAGCCCGGATGCCAGACCCATATAGCACAC